TGCTTTTAGTTTATCCTTCACTCCAGTTCACCTCTTTATTCCTGTAACCTCGAGATAATCCTTGGTTCTCAAGATGCTTGCTACAGGCCAAATATACCGAACAATAGAAAATGCGTGGAGAAAGTGTCCCATGAATGTCATAATTCACTTCCTGGAACCTCCGACGTGATGATTAATCCAATTTCCGGCATTTTTGGCGCTTCAGGACGATTTTTCTCGAAAACTTGGCAACGTAGGGTAAAGGTACACATCACACATTTTTATGTATTTTTTTACGTTTTTTCCGAAATCGTACACGGTTTCTAGATTAAATTAAGTTTCACACACGTAAACTTGAAAAAACCCCTAAAAATTGGTGAAAATTGGCAACAATGGACCGTTAGGCCTTCTAAAATTCACAGGTAGCCATTTTTATGGCCAGATATGAAAAGTACGTAGAAAAATACATATAGTACACACCCATAGAGGGTGACTAAGGTCGAGAAACATTCAAAAGAGCTGCCTTCAAGTATAAAAAGGCCGCTAAAATCGACATCTTGGTGAATTTTCACATCGTGGGAATCCAGGTACATGATACTATGATACTATGATACTATGATACTATGATACTATGATATTTTAATATGTTGTATGGATGGATAAGAGCTGTTACCTGGTACCATATGAAAGTTGTACTCCCCTTTCTTGAATCTTAGGCGCGGCGATTTATCGATTTTTTGCCGTTTTTGAAACTTTGGGACCAATTTTCTCGGAAATTTGGCAACGTAGGAAAAAATTCTACTGAACATTTTTTATTCATTTGTTTACGTACTTTTCAAAAGTGTACACAGTTTTTGGATTAAATTAAGTTTTGAATGTGTTAAATGGAAAAAAACTCTAAAAATGGGCCAAAAATGGCAACAATGGGCCATAAGGTCCCTTAAAATTTATTGGAGGCCTTTGAAAAGGCTAGAAACGGAAAGTACGCAAAAAAAATACATAGAAATCGTCTGCTGGAAGAGTGATAACAGTCGAAAAAGTCGACGAAAATAATTATTTTTCGATTCCAGGATTTTGTGTTTGAGGCGCTGCTGCGCCCTTGCATGGGCTCCGTTCGGTCTAATATTTGGCACAGAGTCTATAGACCGTGGGCCAGCAAGTGGTAACCCCCCCCCCCCCCCCCCCCC